TAGAACAGTGAAAAGCACTGTGTTTCTCCCATGCTCAATGACTATACTGTTTGTATGTAGAGTTTGCAGGTCTCCTATGACGTGAGCAGGGCGTCAACTTTTAACTGTATAACGGAGTACTGTTGGCACCTGCTGTTAACTTTTTTTTTTTTTTTTTTTTGCATTAGAAAAGGCGTGTGACCCATTTTTGAGGTATGACCCCCCTGTTGAGAATCCCTGATCGAGACTGAAATGTTACATTCATTTTAAGTATAGAGTTGTGTTCTCTAGTGTAGGATTGAGTAACAAATCTGTGAAAATTAAATACACGTCGATAGTCGACAGTAGCTGCTTTTTAACGCCTCTGCAAAAAGGAATGAAGTGCATGCCGAATGGCGAGGGGAGTCGAGGGCAGCAGTCGTAGCGCGTTCTAAATAAGTCTGTTTACATAAGTGATGTTTGAAACACAGTGTATTAATAGTTGGTTTGATGGAACAACGGCCGGTGCTGCATAGATGAGTATGATCACATTTGGATTTGTGGGGGATTAACTAGGCAGTGAAAGATGAATGAGGCTCCTTAGTTATTATGGACGTCCAGGAGGTGTCAGATTTAAAAACATAATGTGACAGTATGCAGACACACACACTCAATATCCCATCTATAACGGTTCACGGTCTTAAGATTGAAAAACACTTGTGTGTTGCGTGTATAGTCGAGGAGTCGGTCCTTAGGTTTTCGACACAGTGGCAAATATACCACTTAAAATAACATCACCATAACTGTCACAATTCTATTTTTAGATTTGGTGTGAGCCTGTAGTTTGCATGTCTGACTGTGACCTGGACTAGTTCACCCGAATTCTCATCCTTCCTGGACCGCTGACAGACGTGTACTGATTTCTGAGTTGAAGTCTTTATTGTTTTCATTGTCTATGGCTGTTGTTGTAAATGAACTTGGTGATGAACCTTATTACTAACTTAAATCAGTGGCCCCAGATTAATTGTAATGAGTAATTTACAATAGGGTTTTTTGTTAGGGTTTTTGCTATCTATCTATTTATTTATCTATCTGTCTATCTAATCTTTGTGGGAAATCAGAAACAGTTAACAGTTTATGGACATCACTCTTAAATGAATCGCACGTCGACTGTTTTTAACATTTAGCCTCCATGCATGTGTGCATTCATGTTTTAAACGGCATGCACCTTTGGGTGTCATGTGCTGCCCTTTCTGCTTTATTTGGAGCCAGGCTGTCCACACATGGACACACCAACTGGTGTCCACTGTATCTGCACCAGCTCCTGTGTGTCCTCCCAGTTTGTGGCCTCCTTTCCCAGTGCTGTGTGGGACGTTTTTCCCAGTTGCTCGTAATGTACACGCCTCCGTAAAGGGGGAAAGGGGGAGGGGGGGGGAGGAGGGGGCGATCAGTCAGAATGGTTCTTGGAGAATACACGCTGTTGCACAATGAAGTCCAGTGTAATCAAGTTAGTCATTTGCCTTTAAAGGTCATTAATGACGTCGTGTCCTTTGTCTCTCGGGGGTTGTAATGATTTCCCCCTGTTCCCATAAACATAATGATGGCGTAATCCTTCTGCTGCACATATTCCTCAATTAAATTGGGGAGAACGGTCAGGGGTGGGTGGGGCTGCCCAATTACAGCCCCAAACTCATTTATGCTTACTCCAGACGCAGTCGTGTGCTAACATTCTCTCGTCTTTTTCGCAATACAAGTTACAAGTTTAATTTTTTTTCATTTATCCTAAAATATAAAGTACATTCATTATCAAATCAACACCGCTGATAATAGTAGTAATAGAAAAGTTAGCTGGTGCTTATTTTAGGACAATAATCTGGCTAGATAAGATATAATAAGTGTAGTAGCCGAAGGCCATTACGCACAGGTCCATGTGGAAAAACTACGACTTGTTTTTTCCCATCAGCCTTTCTACATTTAGTGGTTCAAGTCATGGAGTTTTCCAGCATCTGCCCCTGTAACATGTAAAAGGCTAAGTAAAGCACACACTGTGAGTCATTTGGTCTTCACGGTCCTAAAGATATACCAAATAAAGTTTACAGCTGAATAATGTCTGTCCAGCCAGGGTAAAGACTGTCGATGATGCCTGTAATAAGTCCTACTGTTGTGATTTTTCATACCAGTGGTCAGCGGTACAGTACGTGTCTAGCCGGGGCGTTACAGTCTTAGTGGATATCACATGTCAGAAATGTGAAGGGAGACGGATCATAGGAGTATCATGTTCAGCCTGTCTTTGAATGGAGAGCCTAAGAATGACCTGTGTAACCCCAGCCCTCCCTCAGTCAGCCAACTGCAGTACGTACACTCAAATGCCACGGATGCAGTGGACGCTTCTAACATCATCTAAAAAGGAAGTGGGCTCACAAAACACTTGAGTCAGCTTCTGTTTTTTCTGAAGGCACCCAATGGCTGGTATGAGCCTCCATCAACCTGGCATCTCATAGGAGATAAGACTAATCTGTTGGCACACTCAACAGATTAGCCAAATTAGCCAGACGGCCAAATGCGCAAATAAGGTTTTTTTTTTCTACTGCCTTAAATTTAAAGCAGAGTTTTATTGACTTTTATTGACTTACTGTTTTTTGCAATTGTTCGGGGCACTACAAACCTGATTCAACGAGTGACCCAACATATGTGGATATTTTTTGATATGGACATTTAAAAGTTAAACAATTACTTTTTCGAAAGCACACTATAAATATTATTATTAGTTCATTTGTTTATGCTTTTATCATTTAAAGATAATAATTTATCTAATACAATAAATTAATGAAGTAGAAAAAGAAGAAACAAACGTTTGTAAGAAGATATTTAAAAGAATAAATGGAGAAAATAACATCTCATGTCCAATCATGCCCATATATGGCATTTTACGTATTTAATAACCACATGTTGATAGTAAGAATGTAATTATTAGAAAGTGCAGAAGTCTTACTATAATTATGTTAAAAAGTGCTGTCGTTTTGCTACTTTTGGCGTCTCTACGATGTATTCCCATATTTGCTCAGTAGGGGGGAGCAGAGAGTCATGTAGGCTCCAACCAGCAAGTGTTTAAATCCAGAGACAAAACTTGGCAACAAAGGTCTCACGTAAAGGAAGACGATGAAGATTTGTTGTCCAACAGTACTGTTGTTCTTGGACTTTCTCCTGGAACTGTTTGTCTCATCAGGCGTTTTACAGCCCCAGTGGAATACACCTGTGATCAGGTCAGGTGATAATTACAGTGCAGACAGACAGAAGGTGATCTGATTTATCTGCACTACCACGACTGATCCCCTATATGAATAAACACTCCTCACCTGATTGGGCAGTATACCTTTTTACTGAGGTTTTTTCCAAAGACTGCGTGAGACTCCTGAAGTCAGACTGTGTCCTTGGTCTGATCCCATCTTGTCTGCTCCCATCCTCCCTGCCAGATAAAAATCAATAGAACTATTTTTGTTTAAGAAATCAAGCTTGCAGAAAATAAATCTGCTGCAACAATATGTTATAATGTATATCTAAAATTAAATGTAAAGTAGATTAACATGATTTCTTTCTGCATGTTTCAGCTTTTTAACCTTTTTATTTTTCCTTTCTGCATTAGTTTGTTCCCAGTAGTTTAACGTTTCAGCTTTTTAACCTTTTTATTTTTTAACAAACCCCTGACACCACTCACTTTGACCAAATGATTCAAGCTTTAACAAAAGAGTAATCAGGCTTCTCTAGGTGGAAAACGTCCTGGGAAATATTCCCAACACCATAACCGTTACCGTATGTGTCCGGTTTTGTTTGCAGTGTAGTTTCCAGTGCACCATTTCTGTAAACACCCTCATAACAGGGACATTGTTCTTGCTGTGTGGATGTGTTGACTGTTCCTGAGAAGCAGTCAGTCTGTCTGCTTGCTTAATCAGTGGATTCCAGTTACATCACTGCTTATTCACTGAGCGGGGAGCCGATAAGTGCTCTCTCTACAGTGGCAGTTGCTTCAGACCAGCCAATAGTTTGGTTTTCCCTGTTCAGTTAATAATCCCACCCTTACCTTGTCCTTGTTTTTCAACCTTGGGGTCGCCAGAAGTGTCTAGTAATTGATTTAAAATATTGATAAAATATGTATTTTTTTTATTTGAATCACTATGTATAAATACATCCAACTGAAATCCATATATATATATAATCCTTTACTTTTATTGAATTAATTTGACCTGCTGCCACATTAGAGGTAATTTTCCCCGGTCCTGCTGGATTTCTATCCTGCTTTAATGAAATACAGTGAAGGAAATATTATACTGTGTTATTCATTAAAATGAACACCATCCTGGCATATGTAATTTCCAATTTAGCGTTAACATGTTTTCTACACAGTAGTTGTGTCTTGGTGTCCAGTGTTCTCCATCCTTCTGTTAATTAAATCCTGAGTTTTTTGTGCATCACATTTGGGAAGTAAACAGAGGAGAGGTTTTCCTGATCAGGGTGGGACTCCAGATGTTTTGCATTCATGTGACAGAGACATTAGTGCTGCCTTGTTATGAAGCGACTGCAAACGTGTAACGCTCTGGCTATTTCCCTTCAGTTGTGTTTCTTTCTTTTCTTTTTTTTTTTTGTTTTGCCATGATTTCCATCACAACTCAGTGCTGGTGACCCGCTGTTGAACACAATACCCTGTATCATCATCTGTGCCCCGGGGAAATGACTCACGGTTTATGGATTGGTAATGAGCTAAGCTGAAGGATTTGGGTGTTGGAGAGCAACAGTGAATAAATGTTATGAACAGGAAACAAGTCAGATTAGAAACAAGAAGGAGCTGAAATACGAGCATAAAGTTGCCGCTAGTTATTGTAAAAAAGCCGTTCTGCCTTGTCATGTTGCCCGGTACATTATTAATGACATGTGCATTAAGCATGTGAATACCATTGTGTCAACTCAACATAGGGGTGTGTGTCCAAAAGGACAGTGTATGTCTTTAAATTAGCCCTGCCCACCTCGGACTATGCACATGGGGTCAAATAACACTGCATAGGAAGCGAAGAGTGTGTGTGTGTTTGTGTGTGTGTGTGTGTGTAACATCCCTCACTGGAGCAGCTCTGGACTTCCTCTTCTCCCTGTAAAACGGCTGCCACTGCCGGCTTTTGTTGTGTGTGGAACACAGGGGACATTCCTAGAAATCAACTTTGGCCTCAGGCACAGAAAGAGTGGCACAACTGGGCTCAAACACTCACCAGCACAAACGCATGTCATTTCTTTTTTTCTTTTTGGTACTGTTGTTTGAGAGTGTACTGCCCCCCCTTGGGCGGGGCACTTCTTCCCTTCCTTATTTGGATTGTCGGTAGAGGTACGGGTCACATGGGTGTACAGTAAAAAAACCCAGCGATAGGAACAAAAAAAACTGGAGAGCAAGAGTCGACAGCTGCCCTGGAGGGTTTACTGCACCGGGGGCAACCTAGTCAGGGGAGGGGAAGAGGAAGAAACGACCGCAAACAAGAGCAAGAAAGAAGAAGACAGTGACAGCTATTGGAGGGAAGAGGAGAGAAAGAGACAGAGGAGCAGCAGAACAGCCGAGAGGGAGAAGAGGGAAAAGGACCGGACTGTGACAAACGGAAGACTCTTGAGAGGCTGCACATGGTGTAAAAATGCCAACAAATTTCACTGTAGTTCCAGTAAAGGACAGCGCTGGGAAGGCAGCAGAAGGGAGTGAGAATGATGTAGATGACAGCAACGTGCTGAAAGAAGAAGATGAAGAAGCTACAGGTGAGAGCGGCACTTTTTATTTATCTTCATCAGCCGGCCGTGACACGAGAATAACAAGACCTTGACAACTTTTTTTTTCTTTTTTCTTTTTTTTATTTGATAGGGAAAGCATTTTAAGTAAGAGGTACTTGTGGAATGTTCCAGACTTTGTCTGTGCGGCGTCCTGTGCAAGCTGATAGTTTGGCTTTGTTGCTGCCTATGTTTAGACTGTGTGGGTGGATAATGTGCAGGGAAGATGGCAAATTTTAGAAAAAGCATGTTTATTTTCCAGCCACTTTAAGAAACGAGGGCTTCCCTGTCATGGCTGTGGTAATAAAATAAAAAAAGACTATAACAGGAACGTATTTCCTTCTTCCCTTATCAGCTGCTGCCTGGGTTTGGTTCCAAATTACTTGAGTTTTATCACTTTTTGGTTCTCTGTGTGTAAACTACCAACCCCAGTCATTGTTACATTAGGTTTTCTTCAGTTGAGGCAAATCTCAAATATTTAAAGCTGTCTCAATGTGGGTCAAATGTCAAATGTCTACATTTACCTTATAAATGCCATATACAGTAACTACAACATTCCACCAAAATAAAACTTAAAACAACTCGGCTACATTTTCTTTACCAGGACAAACTTTGGAAAATAATTCATGGAACGAGGAGTTCCGTCCTCCCTCTGACCTCTGCCAACTTGAAATCAGCATATTTTCAAGCACATGGTTTACATTTACTTTCAGAGTATTCACAAAGGAGAGATCACAAGGTCCATTTTTGAACAAACCTCCTCTCTCCTACTCTGTTCTGCCTGGACTTCACAGCACTTCATTCACTTGAGAAATCTCTGGTAAAAAAAAAAAAAAACAAAAAACAAAAAAACCAAGTGGTGTTTAATTTCAGTGTTGATGCAGTAATGGTGCTGCAGTGCAGCGGGGTTTGGCCTTCTCATCCTTGTCATTGTTTGTGCCCACGCAGCCTTGACAACATTTTAACAGTACAGTAAAGACCTCACTCTGAATCTGAAGCCACAAAACAATATGAACTTGTTGTTGTCTGCACTAATGGTCCTTTAATTGATTCCCAGCAACTGTTTGCAGACCACAGATTGGTCACAGGAAATTACATCTGGTTTCACAAATTAATGCACTCAAATTTTATAACTTAATATGTATCTGTTATACGCAAAGCATGGAAAGTTTTTTGGTTAAACTATGAAAGATTGATTGTTAATTTCTAGCAGTCTCTATTGCAGGGGTTACCAATTATAATTTTCAAAGGGCCAGATTTTTCCTGGGGGTGGGACACTCAAATAAAATAAAATAAAAATCACATTTTGGTGCAACTTTATTATTTGATGTTTTATAGAATCCAGTCACTGGCTGAGTTGGACGGTTCAGCCGGTCAGCTATCTGCTGCAGGGCGGCAGCTGTTGTATTGGGTAATGCCTCGTATTGATAGCCTAAAAAAAACACTAATCTAGAAAATCCCTCTTTCAATCAAACAGCAAACAACAGATGAAGGAACGAGGGACGGCTTTTTTGACAGATGTCTTTGTTCGTTGTCTTCATTGATGTAAACGTTACACTTGGTGATCCAGCGAAATGACCAGAGGTTTTACCATGGGTCATCTGAGAGAATCACCATGTTCCGCCTCAGTCAAGTTAGCAGTGACTCTTATTGATTTTCTGCCGCCTGGCTTCCTGTTGGCTGAGTAGAGGGAGGTGAGACCCCACCCCCATGCTGTAATGTAATGGACTCCAGCTCCACTTATTTACACCAAGTTCCTTCTTTGTGCTCTTCTCCCTTCCTGGTACTTTATGTTTCCACTGCTCATGTTCTAAGAGGACGACTGCTGATGTCTTTCATTTCTGTGAAGTACACTGCTAATATGATTATTTATTTTTTTTTAATTTTATCATAGCCAAGAAAACCATGATATTTTTGTCCTTCCATCTGAAAAGAAGCAGCTGTTTCTTAAAAAGAGGATCGCTCAAAAATGCACTGAAAATTAAGGACATTTTGACATCAGAGGAAAAGTGTCTGAGGGAGTGGACAACTACAACTAAGACACGTTTACAAAGAATCACTGTGAGCCTTGGGTTAGTAGCATGTTGGATATTTTAGGTACCCACCGAGTAATGAATCGCTCTTTTATTAACCTAAATGACGATGTGATGAGGTAAATAACCCCTTCATTTTGAGTGCAGTTTAGGCCTAAACTCCAGCCAGTAATCTGGGTGTCTGAGTGTCTGCTGCCTCTGTCCGTTGGTCTGTGTGCCCATCTGTCCTGGACATGTGTTTCCTGTTTATTTGTAAGGCAGATCTGGTTCTGTTTAAAGCTGCTTTTTTTAAAAAAAACACTTCTCTGTGTTTTCTTTTATTTGACTTTTATATTTTGTCGTTGACTCTGTGTCCGCGAAGAACTTTGGAGGAGGAGTGTTGTTCTTGTCACCCCGAGTTGATGTCTGACGCTGCAGTTGTAGTTTAATACTTTGACATATTTACTTTTCATTTTGGTTGCCAAGTATATCCCTCCCCTCATTCGTCAGAATTTGTAAATTTGTTTTAGGAACAGGTAACGTCTCAATGTGTGTCTGTACGAATACTGTCCCACATCAAACCTTCTTTGATGCCAGTCGTAGAATCACTGTGACTGACTCAGACTTAAATGTTTAGTCTCACCGTGTTCTTTTTTTCCCCCTGTTATATTCAGTCTTAAGTCACTATCTTGTGCACAAGTGATTCCTTGACTCATCATGGAGAACTGGTTCACCGTGTCAGCACAGCGGCATGTGACTGTGACTCTTCATGCTTTTGTTTGAAATGTCAAATACACACTAAAGTGTAGTGAAGTCAAGTTTCTTTTTTTCTTTTTTTTTTTCTACACTTCTCATCCTGGCCCGTCTGACCCTACACTGTTATTCAACCATATTGACTTTTGTCAAATTACTTAGTCCTGCGTGTTCTATCTGCAGCACAGTCACACACACGGATATTCAACGTGCAGCCCTGGGGTCGTAGAAGACTTATCTCCAGAGACTTTTGAAGTTTGGAATTAATATGCACTGTCAGACTGAATGGAAACTGAATTAAGATATAGAAGAAGCATATTTCAAAATCTGAATTATCAGGTCACGTAATAAACAAACAACAACAAGAACAAAAAAAAAACCCACTGAAGAAATGCTTCCTGGAATGTACGTATGTTGTTTGCTAAAAATAATAAGAGGAAACCCCCAATGACTGAGTGGCTAAAAATTGCTGAGTGCTTCATTTTTTCCCCACTGTACTATTAACAGACCCTGCACCTTGTCAGAATGCAGCTTTCTCTCCTGTTCAGCGATCTGCTCCCCACCAGTTCCACGCTCAATATGGTTTCTCTGATAAGCCTTTAACCAATGCGCACTCGATACATTTTTGTGACCTTTTCTGTGACTCGATTTTTATCTGTTCTTTCTCTGTCAGCTATAGCTTTGAACCGACTGACCTCACAAAACGACATCACCAACTGTGAATCAGTCTTAACAAGAAACGGCAAATAGAGTGAGGAAAGGTTGCATTTATATTGAATTCACTAATTTGAATTTTTATTACGTCAACAGGTTTTGGCGTCTGATGCAGATCTGTGTCATTTCATAATATGTCGTACTGGTCAATTCCGGCTGTTAAACCAGTTAAACAGGTAAAAAAAAAAATTACTCGGCCATGTATTAAAAAAGCCGTCAATGACTCCACCTACTGCCACCTATGGCCCAAATTAACTGCAGCCTCAGAGCGGCTGCTTATTGTCAATAATAAACTGGAACTGTTTTGGCTACATTTGAAGTGGACCCAGAGATGCAGTATTTTATTGATCCACCCTTTATAACAGGAATTTGGAAAGCTCAGTTTGCTAACCCCAGCTGCAGTAACTAATAAAACGAGGAGAGTTTCCGTCGTTATGTGGTAAATTCAGTTCAAACTGTGAGGTAATGGCTCACCTTTAAAGGGTGAGTGAAACCACTTCTGGTCTGGAATGAAGTGTACTAGGTTTTATGGACACACGTACTCACTTGTTAATGAGGCACCGTGTAGTGTGTGTTTGTTGTTTATGCAGAAGTGAAACATTAACATTACTCTCCCCTGAATATGGTTAGTTTATACTATTGTGTAGTACATCAAATAACCAAAGAACTAGAATTGTATCCATTCACACTCAAACCCCTTACGCTTGTCTCATTGGTTACTATTTCGACCAGGGGTCTCAACCCCTGGCCTTGGTTCCTCTTCCAGTCCCCCCACAACCAGCTGGCAAAAAATCTTAGTTCCTTATTTGTCCCACAATGGGGAAATCCACAATGTGAGTGTTCAAGCTTGAACCCACTGTTCTTAAAATGTTCTTTTTTGCATTGAACTTTGGAAACCCTGTGTGGCCTCCAGTTGAAATAACAGTCGGTTAGTTTTGATATTGCAATTAAAAAAACAGTTTGGTCCCAGAGCTGGATTCTCCGTCATTGTCCCATCACTACTCTACCTCAGTAAGACACTGGCTGTTTAGTCCAACAGCAGTATTTGACACAGTTGTCTCCATCCTCCTCACCCTTATCATTTGTCATCAGCGTACACAGACACGAGTGCACACTGTGTCTTTTTCCTATCACTCTCACCCGTGCTCTGTGCTGCATAATAGACAGTGATGTTTACTTGAAAGGTTTAAAAGCTTAGGACGTCATTAAGTGTGACACGCACACTGATGTGGGCATATGGGTATAAACACACTTTCAAAGAGACACACACAAAAAAAAAAACTATTAACATTAGCCGTCTGGCATCAGTCCAAGTCAGGCTGGGTCCTGCTTAATCCTGTCTAAAGTGTAATACAATATCTTGTCTCTAAGCTGTGCTCTGGCACACGTCAGATGGCAGATGATGACAGTGAATACAGGATGGAAACATTCAATGCAAGAACACATCGTTGTTTCTAAAATGTTATTTAATTTTTCAATGTCAAGCACAAATTTAGATGACCAGTATTAAAA